TCCCTTTGCAAATTAACACAAGGAACTTTCTCGGCAGATACACAGAGAGACATGCAACGAAGTCTCCAGAGTGCACAAGCAGGCGGCAGCTCGAACGATCCAATGCCCATGCACCCGTAAGCACTGTCATGCATCATCAGCCTCCTGCGCCTCTCCCAGGTCCTGCAGAGACTCTACACGCCCAGAGGTTGTAGACGAAAGGGGCAGAAAGAGGACACATGCAAGAATGCACGAGCAATCGCAGCGGTAATCCGGACTCCACATCGCAAGCAGGGGCAGTGGACCCGACTTCCAAACAAGTGCAACAAAATCAATGCCCAAGAATGCCATCCTCGACGAGGGAGACCACAGATCCAGGGACCAGGTTCCGCAAGGGCTGTGCCTGGGCTGTCAGGTTGGCCGTGCTGGGGCCGCGAAGGCTGACCCTCTGAGGCAGGGACTTTGGGGTCGACACAGAGGTGTCCATTCAGTGCGAGAAACAAAGCCTCGGGGTGTGGCATTGGGCTCCGAGAAATTGCGTAGACCGATTCTTGGCGTCGGGCAGATGGAGGGCGAAGGGCTTGCAATCCTGCCTCGGACAATGATTCACGCGGCCACTTGTCATCTCATTATGCTTTCTTGATCTTTCTTGCCTCCTCCAGCTGCTTGGAGAGAAGGTGTTGGAGGGTTCGCAAGGTCACGTCGTTCGGCCTTGCGACTGCCCCAACCCTTCCTGAACTGCCTTGAAGGGCCGCAGCCAACTCAGCTACATCAAGCCATATCAAGCCCCACAATTGCTTCCGTAGCTGCTTGCAAGCAACCATGGAATTCTGACCCTCCATCTGTACATATCTGTACCACGTCACGTAACACCCCGCACACCCAAAAGCATTATGGTGAAGTCGCTGGAACACCGGCAACAAACAGGCAAAGACATTACGTGGCAAGACTGAGGGTCCTGCACTTCCAAGTCGAGTGGCACTCGGAGCAGAACATCCTGCACCCGTGGGGATTCAGAACGGATGCTGGATGAATGCCTCTCAGAGTGTCGTGCAGGCGTGATACGGTTTGTAAAGTCGCTACTCCACCAACCTCGAAAGGTGTTACAGTGTTACTGTGCTACTACCATGTTGCACTACTGTTCGGGATCCGGATTTCGTATGTAATGGCCACAGCAAGAGGAAAAGACTGTCACACTGCTCGTGCAACCAAATATAGTGGTATAGTGGCAGTGGCGATGGCAACAAGCACCAATAACTTTACACAGTACGGTAAGGATAGCGGCAAGTATAATGGCACATGGTAAGACAAAACAACAAATCGTAAGCCTGCTAAAACCCCAAAACGGCTGATGATTAGCACAATGACAGTAGATTACCACATCGAAAATAACTGCAACCATGGCGGCAACAACAACAACAACAGCATTGTGCTGCCACCAGTGGTTCCGCGATGTTGCACTCCCAATCGTGCATTTATCCCACTGATACCGGCCTTCTTTGATGGAAACGGGTTGTGCGAATGCATGTGTTTTTCGTGATTCGACTACACAAGCAAACGTAGGCTGTCAACAAAGTAGCAAGCGTGCCAGTGCTGTATGTTTTCGGGGTGTGTTTTGGCATTGGTGTGTCTGTTGGAAGAGTTGAGTAATAGTAGCAGCAGCAGCAGCAGCAGCAGTGGTAGCAGCAGTAGTAGTAGTCGTCGTCGTCGTCGTCGTGGTGGTGGTGGTGGTGGTGGTGGTGGGGGTGGCGGTGGCGGCAGCGGCAGCAGTAGCTGTAGCAGTAGCAGGAGCAGGAGCGCCGCCCGCATGCTCACCACGAGTGACACAATCCATATATTCTCTGAACGCAAGATACAAGTAGATGCTGTCGCACTGTTTGGGAATCAGAACTCCGTGGCGACACAACACTTTTGAGGAACAGGCAGAAAACAATGCTATAGGAAGTAGTTCGAACAGTACTTGTAGATTCACTGCAAGACGAACCATCAGGATGACTTGCTTAAACTATGTCGTGCACTGACGGCGAGAACAAAGCGAAAACGCCACAACCGCAATGGCAACGACAACTCGTAAGTTTCAAGAAGCGTCTGAACAGCCAAAGAAGCTGCAGCCAGCAGCGATCAACTTCAAGCCCGCGGCCCCAAAAAGCAGCCTCCCAAAATAGCCCTCTCCGCATACATCTTAACAGCATCCTCCTCAGCCTCCCCGGGGCCGACCTCACCTCAGCCATTGCATAGAACAGCCAAGTCGGATGCAGGCACTGAACTGTGTTCATAGCGGATCTGAAGGTCATCGCCGCTCCTTCTGAGACGGAAACCAGTGTTTCCAGACAATGTCGGACTCATTGCATCTGCCTCCGTGGGCTCTACGAACACGTCTGCCGCACGTCTGCCGTATTCCGCAAAGTTGTGCTTCCCCCTTTCAAACAATCCCTGGAGTCTTGCAATCCCTGGAGTCTTGCGAGAGGCTTTCCAGCCTCGGTGACATCGGCATCGAAGGTCTGCCTGTGGTTTGAGGGTTGTTCCCGCTGCTGTTTTTACGTTTCTCTCTGGCGAGTTTCAGCATTGCACTCTGTGACTCTGTTTGTGCGAATCACTAGTGACCCTCTGAAGCCGCTTGACCTGAACAAACCAAGCAGAGCACTGACGGAAGTCAAAGGTTGCCTTGGGTCCGGAATGGAGACGAAAGCCACCCTTGCGCAACCTGCCATGCACTCTCCGGTTTCACTGGCATTCCTGAATCGTGCGCTGTGCAGTTGTCCCGACAATGCAGAAGTTAGGTTCACTGTTTTGCCAGAGCCTGAGATACACCTCTTGAAGGACTCACACTCAGGTGCTCTGTCCGGAAAGGGGTGAAACCGCTGGGTGATGAGAAGGCACGCGCTGCCATTCTGCAGAGCTTCTGTATCTCGGTAGATACCGCAACAAATGCTTCGGATAAGGATCTTCGAGGCTTGAAACCGAGCATACATCACCGACCGATATCACGCCGTACTATGCCTATGCAGAGCTTGCGCTCGACTCCTCCGCAGCCGCATCTTGCCTTCGTCAGCCCAACAAGGCAAAAACGCTGCTTATAATCACGACTGTCATAGAATCGAAGCAAGGCTCGGCACACCATTGTATCCCGCACGAACAAGATGTCGGATACTAAGGTTGCTTTCCGTGTTAATGCGGAAACCTGAAAGTAGACTATTGCCTGCCCCTGCTGCATGTGCTGGAAGCAAACATCACAAGCCCGGTAAGGTCGACACACCCTGCCCGTTCAAGAAGCACTCAAACCCTCCCTGACCCCAACAGTAGCCCGGAGCCAGCTTCTGCATCAAAGCACCCGTTTATCATCCAAACGTATTCGATCGTGGTTCCATCGCCGTTTGGGCCGAGTCGCTGGGCTTCAAACGAAAGGCCCCCGAATAAGGCGTCGCGATGACGAATTCTCAGACGCTTTGCTGACATCTTACTTTCATAATAAGAAGGCCGTCTTCCCCATTCTTCCTCTCGTACTCTGCCAAGTTCCCTTAGGTTCCCTACGTTTTTGCTGGTACCCGTCCCCAATTGAACGCCCCCACAGGAATGATGCTACCTCGCAAAATGGTCAAGCCGCAATTTTTGGGGTGTGATATGAGCCACTGACGTGCACATGCGTCCTAGCTGCATTTAAAATTAGCTGCTACCCAAACAAGCAGCCCGCACTCATCCACATTTTTTGGTTCCTGCTCCTCCTACTCATGCTACTACGACAACTACAACTACAACAATCTACAACTACAGCTACCACTACTAGTGCTGCTGCTGCTGCTGCTGCCGCCACCACTACCACTACTACTACTACTACTACTACTACTACTACTACATACTGCCATCTCACAACATACATACGCCGATCCGACGCCCGTGGCCCGTAACAAATTGTATCCCGTATTGCATACCCCCTGTGATGCGTAAGCGCACACGCCAATGCAAGTAGACCCACAATGACCCACATGCGTCCGATCTTCGCAAAACAATTTTGCCATGGCCTAAGCACGCTTGTGGAGCAGTAAAGCCTTTGACGGGAAACCGGCAGGCGACCATCATGAGTATTGCTGGGGTCCAATCAGAGCCACTAAGTCGCCCATTCGGAGACTGTGGGCCAGTGCATGAGTTACTGTTGTTGATGTTTTTGGCGTTGTTGGTCTGACCCGGCCGACGAGCATCATTGAGAGCCCACACGGAATCGCTAAGCACCTCATGAGCATCACTGGGGTTTTAACCGGAACCGGCAGGCGAGCATCATGAACAAAAATCGGAGCCAGCAGGCGAGCATCATGAGCATCATTGGGGGCCCGTTTCTCCATTCCAAAGAGGTCTGAAAGACACCCAAAAAAGACCGGATCCGGCAACGGCCTAAACCAGCTCCAAACTTAGGCGCAGTACGAGGTAGCTTGTGCTCCAAACTCATGCTGAACAACAACTTGCTGCACACGTTTGCATTGCAGCGCAAGTGGCAGAAAATGTCGCATGGCAGCACGACCCATAAAGTCAGACGAGGGAGGGTAGAGCAATGCTAATACAGCTCTTTACAATACAGAACAAGAAAACTAACTTCTTGATCGATGCCAGCTGTGGTGCCATTCATTAGACAGAGTTCTGGACGAACATGAGCGAAGATCCGATCAAGCCAAGTCAAAGAGCAAGTTGTGTAGTGTGAAACTGGTATGATGCAACAATGGAAGGTAGGAGAATGATGCTACACAAACGAGGCTGTGTGACCTCCACCAGAAGCTGTACGACACTGGAAGGAGCATGCAAGACCACAAGACCGCATCAACCACGTGCGGAGGAATTTGACGAAGCGACGCCCAAACGAAGAGCTGACTTCAGACGTTGCCATAAAATAAGATGAAACCATTTGGCACAGCATTGCTATGACTGCATACAGGCACGCTGCATAATACTGCATGTAAAGGGGAAATCTTCGAGTCTGTCACGTATGAAGAATCGCATTGAACTGATTTGCACATCCACAGGTCGAGCCCTGCCTGCTGTCGGTGAATCCGCCGCTGGTTGCAGAATCTGGCATCCGAGAAGGATGACACACAGTCAGCATATGAACGTCCAGGAACGAAAGTGCAGGGCACAGGGGAGGCCTGCTCCAGTCCTGCCCAACACATGGCTTTGAGAAGGAGAGTCTCTGCAGCAAGGCAATAATCAATAATCACGCGCAGTCCTGTGTTTGTCCGGCTTTTTGTTCAGCTGTGCGAGCAAGAATTTCTGCAAGCAAGGCGTTGGAAGACTCTGTCTACACAAGCTTCATCAGAAGACCTAAACAGCGGGCATTCATCGCCAGAAACTGACTAGGTGACCAGGCGATTCTTGCATACCGATCCGTTTCCAACTCCTCTTCTGGCCACTGCATGTCAGGAGAGCCTTGGTCCAAATCAATGGTATCGAAGCATCTCAGAAATTCAGTGATGTAAATGGATCCTGACGATATGCAACAGCAAGTGGGGCCCATGCCAAGCAGCATGAATTGAGAAGATCATTTGCCATGCTGGGGAAATTAAGTTCCCAGCTTGTGCCTCCAAAACGTAGAATGATGTCATCTGATGTCGGGTTCAAATTCGCAGGCTCACCTTGCCAAAGGCTGATACTGTGATAAACTGATGCAGCTTGGATCCCCTTGGAGCGCAGCGAATCTGGATGCCTCCGCCCAATCCCACCTTTGAAAGAGTGCAAGTTCGAAACTCAGGCCAAGTGTTGCAGAGGTTGCCAACTCAGCTCGGCACATCGCCCTCATCAAACTCCAGAAGTTGCTCAAAGCGTAAGCCCGCAACCTTGTCGAAAAAACAAGGACAGGTCTTTCCCTGGAGTGCGCTCCCGTAGCCCCTGCTTCCCCTCTGTGCAACCAGGCCAATGTCTGCGCGAGCCCCTCCTCACCCCCGTTTCCCCCAAGCACGCCCCCCCTCCCCCCCGCCCTGCCCTCCTACCCCACCCCTCCCTCCCCCTCCCTTGAGCAACCCGTCTGCCTTCTTCAGTTACGGCCGCAGGCGGGTGACGCGAAGAAAAAACAAGTAAGCGTATGAAGGTACCTTAGGGCATGTCGAAATATGCCAGATGGACGACGGATTGGGCGATAGATAGATGCCCCGTGGGTCGTCCCATATTCTTCTTAATGTGGAAACGACCTTGCCTTTGGGCCAACGTCGGGCACAGGATCTGTACGACGGTCCCTCGAAGTGTTACGCAAGCCCATTGGTGTGACACTGATCACGTCTGCACCTTCGGATCGCGAAATATAACAGGCATTCCTCTGGGCTTTGCCAAAAAATCATGCAATCTGCGTGACAACATTCGCCTTTGCAACCTCGTTTCCGAAGTGGATGTGGGGATTCCGACCACGAAGACGAAAACACGATGATGAGAACGAGCAGCTTGAGGGTAATGATGGGTATGCTGCTGATGTTGCAGAAAGATGATGATAACGGTGATGATGCTGATGCTGATGCTGACGCTGACGCCGATGCTGATGATGATGCTGATGCTGGTGATGCTGAAAACGATGTTGATGATGAGGAAGAAGATGATGATCATCATCATCATGGTTATGATGATGACGCTGACGACGATGATGACGACGATGATGACGATGATCATGACGATGATGAAGATGATCATGATAATGATGACGATGATCCAGATAACGCTGTTGCTCTAGTTGAGGATAACTGTGATGAGGATACGGAGAGTGATCATGCGGATGGAAATGATGATAATGGGTTTCGCTTGCCCAAGGATTGCGTTCGCATGCCACAATCCACACACCCCCAGGCAGTTTTGACATTGAGCACTCGCTGTCACACCTTAGTTTTGGTGATCACCATGGGCCAGGAAAGCTACTACGGCTGCTGCTGCTGCTGCTGCTGCAACTACGGTGGTAGTAGTAGTCGTCGTCGTCAATAGTAGTAGTAGTAGTAGTAGTAGTAGTAGTAGTTGTTGTTGTTGTTGTTGCTGTTGTTGTTGTAGTAGT